GGACAGATGATACAGACCACCGAGAGCACAATTGGGAGCACTTACCTCAGAGTCAGAGGGCTGGAGCGAACAACTGGCCTGGGATTCAGTACATGGTGACTCTTTGATCAAATAATCCACAAAGTAAGAAGGGCCGACCACCCACTGCCATGAAAGAAGAGTTAAGACATTACAAACCATACTCCAGAAAAAAACGAATGTTTGGCAAATGTTCTTCTATAGAACACACAAACCAAGGCACTGTAATACACAAACCCACTGCTCCTAAAAGTCCTCATGGACACCAAACCATGTCAGCAATTCTGCGATTTAGAGAACATATGTCAGTGCCTGTTATGGATGTAGAAGGTGCCCTAAACATTTTCTCCAGTTAGCTTATTTTCCCTTTGTCTTACATTTATATATTTATTTATATAAGAGAGATAACACAATTGAAATATAAATGAGTCTCCTAGTTCATAACTCATAAAAGTTGTCTTGCTAAAAATGGTCCATAATCAGTCAGAACTCAGTGCACTCATATCCCCCCCCCCCAAAGAAATCACATGAGACCATGAATCTGTTCTTCTTGCTTTGTTGGAGAAACAGAATCAAGTCACCTGATTCTCGTAGAACTTCCGAGTAGAAACAGAAGCTGTGCCATGAACGGTGCACAGCAGATATATTAGATGTGGGGCTGGAGAGAGAGGATCTCAGGGTCTAAGCAGACAGGAGGCCTACATGGCCTCCTCCTGACCTAAGACCTACAACTACAGTCTGTGTAGCTGACCTGGGCATTTGAGTTTTACCTGTCCAGTAGCCCTGGTGACTTTGACGACTGAGTACTGTTTTGAGGGGTTCTCACTGTTGAATTTTGCAAGTGACTCTGTGGCAGCTTCCATAATGTTGGGGTCCGACAAGTCAGTGGGGCCCGACACACCAATGGAGCCCGGGCAGTCAGGACATATGGTATTAATCTGTCTTCGAGAAACTATTGATGAGAACAGTTTTTTAAACAGTATTAATTTTCAGTCCTAATAAGAGTCATAACCACACAACTCTGCCATAAGCAAAGACTGAACTAAAGCGATAATACCCAGGGTTGTTGGCAAGGCTGCAGAGAGAAAGACATTTTTCTGAGAAAGCGTTTAGTTGGCAGTATGATTGTTAGCGGTAGTAGTACTTTTTCTTTATCTCTGCCTGCCTGCCTGTCTACCTGCCTCCCTCCCTTCCTCTTTCCTCTCCTCTCTCCCTTTTCCCTCCCGCTCTTCCTTTTTGAAACAAGGTCTCATGTATCCCAGGTTGTCCTGTGTAATCAAAGGGGCCCTTACCTCCTGATCTTCTTGCCGGGGGCAAGGCTTGCAGACATGGGCCCTCCTGCTTGATTCTATGGTGCTAGGATCAAAGCAGGGCTTCATGCAAGCTCAACTCTCTACCACCTGAGCTAATGCCTGGGCTCTGCACATTATTACTTTTGTAATCAAAAATACATCTAAGTGAGATACTCTTCACCTCTAATGGACTTGTTCATCATTGGGATTTTGTTCAGAAGCACACAGGAATTGCCCAAACAACAGTCTGTGGGCTACATAGAGTCAGAGAGAGCAATGGATGTGGCCCAACACAAAATTTTAAATATACTTAAAACATCATGAAAAAAAAATTTGCAACTCAGTTACACAGTTCTTAGGTTCTTTCTGCACAACAACATTGTATTTCAGTGCCAAAACATCAAACACTTCAGTTTCCTCCCTAATTCAATGCCCTTCCTGAAGGCTGCTTCTGTAGACAAGGGCTTTTGAAACATTGGTGTTTCATTATTGCCGTGACTTATTTCTCTGTGGTCCATAACACCAAGAATAAAATCTAACACATCAGTAGATGATGTCATGATAGCAGGAACATACCACCTTTGGTTAGAAAATGCAAATGAGTCAGAAAATTAACACCACCATGAGGCTACAGAGAATGTCCACACCATCGGCACAGTTACAGGCTCTTTGGGAGGCGCTGGAGATGGCAGATGGGCGCTCATCAAGCCAGAGCATTTGCCTTGAAGTATTTTCAGAGGAACTCCACTGTCTTAATTAACAGACATTTGGGGATGGAGGAAGACGTTGGGAGAACAGAATCCACAGCTTGCCACTGGTGCCTCATTCGCTTTGAGTTACTCCAGACTGGTCCTGCGTTCACACTATAAGCTGAGGCTTGTGCAGTGTGCGGCTTCCTTACTCCAAGGAAGCAGCAGCAGCATTTGGTCATCTGCAGCTTGCTAGAAAGTCAGGCTCTCGGGCCCTGACAGGCCAATGCACTCCGAATCTGCACTTCGACAAGATTCCCGGGGAGGGTGCACACACATAGTCTGTTATGTGGACACTTCCCACCTCCCACACAATGGACTCCTGCTTTTCAACGACCTTCTCTTGTACAAAGCAGGGTCCAGAAGGAATGCACCCACTTACTCCAGCTGTCCATTCCTTCCGGCCTAATTCTTGCCTGTTATTCAACAATAGTAACGACTTCTGAAATATGATATATGCTAGGAAGTCTTTATCTGGGGGAGAGGGAGGCGCACCCATATGCTAGATGATACAAGACTATAAATCAAGGTCGTGAATGTTCTGTACTCCGAGTATTTTAGCCAAAGCGGAAAAAAATGTGCACTAGGAAAACAACATTCCTTTCTTGAGTAGAGAGCATCATGAAAGCAGCATTGGGGGCATTCCTTAAAGAGGTTTGAGCTCCAGGACAGAGGTCAGAGGTCAGCAAGTACACAGTGCAGAGATGGGAACGTGTGATGTGTGTTCAGATATATCAGTTGGAAGGGAGACAGCAGGACAGTGGCATAGACAGAAAGGAACCTGGGACCAGCTGTTGGTGCTCTGCCGCTCACAGGAGATTGAAAATTGAGGATTTGAAGCAGGTCCTAGCTCTTGATAGCAATTTAGGGAGGTTTCCCTGGGGAGAATGAGCCAGTAGTGAATGTCAGCAAGGAGGCCGTGCTGGAGTACTGAGCAGTGGGTGCCATGGGGGAGATAGAGTAAGGGAGGAGAAACTGCATGCCAGCTCAACAAAGGCTTAGTTAAAGGCTCTTTCCTATCTTTTATTAAAATGTACCAACCCCCCACCCCCGCCCTGTCCCTTACCTGGGCGAAGAGTACAGTTATAGGCGAGTAAATAGAGAACTCTTCTTGGCTTGTTCATGTGAAACATTGCTTTGCATTGGCCATAAACCTGGAAAAAAAAAAAAACAAATACACTTGATGGCCTGATGCACAGAACCATGAGGCTGACACCACCCCACCCCATCAAACCCAGTAGAATTCCATTTTATTTATTTATTTGGTTTTTCGAGACAGGGTTTCTCTGTGGCTTTGGGGCCTGTCCTGGAACTAGCTCTGTAGACCAGGCTGGTCTCGAACTCACAGAGATCCGCCTGCCTCTGCCTCCCCCGAGTGCTGGGATTAAAGGCGTGCGCCACCATTGCCCGGCTTAGAATTCCATTTTAATGGAACACGGAGCTTAAAATCCAGTTCTGTGGTTTGACGGTGGAAAGAACTGCTCTTTATCAGCAGAGTGCTGCCTTTTCCTGAGACACAGCTGCCGTCTCAGCCTGCTCACACTTAGGCGCAGACCATCAAATTCAATTCTAACTGCAGGAACGGAGCAGAAACAGCTCTATTGCCACGCTCCACTGCCACGACAGCACGTTTGTTTTCCCTCCATCCTCTGTCTTTCGATAGCCTGATGCCAGTGAGCATAGGGACTAGGGAGCCACAGGATGGAGATGGCAAGGTCAGAGACAAGCATAGCAGGCAGTGGGAGCCTCCAAATCACACCCAGAAAAAATCCTCTGGCCAGGAGCTTCAAGTTTGAAGTTACACAATAAAATCCCCTGGAAATTTAAGTTTCAAAATTACACAAGAAACAAACTCCTAACCTGTGTGCTCCTGAGTGAGCATACACCTCTCTGTGGGTGTCCCGTGTGCACCTGAGTGAGCACACATTTCTCTGTGGGTGTCCCGTATTACTAAACCAACTCTAACAAGAGGAAGTACAAACTATTTGTTCTTCAAAATCAGGTGCAGGTTGCATGTTTGGTCAAATAATGAGGAAAGGTAATTTTGATCAAAAGTTTATTCACACTACTGAAGAGCCCGTCTTGCTTTCCATGGTTGTCTGCATGAGTGCACGGGAAAGATCCCAGAATCAGAGAATCAGGCGTAAACTCCTGACTTCATTGGTTTTAAGTCTTGTCAGTGCTGTCTTTGAAAAGTTGAGCTCAAGGCCAGAGAGAAAGTGGTTAAGACACTTGCTACTCTTCTAGAGAACCGGAGTTTGGTTCACAGCACCCACATTGGGTGGCTCACACCCATCTGAAACACCAGTTCTTGGGGAAGGGGGATTTTACACCACCTTATGGTCACTGTGGGCACTGCATGGATGTGGTACACACACACACACACACACACACACACACACACACACACACACACACGGTAAGGCACCCTTATACACAGAAGAATAAAATCATTATTTTAAAAACAAGAAAGAATGAGTTCTGAGACCCATAGTTCCATGCTTCAGGAAGCTTTCCCGGGGGAACCCCTGGTGATCTTCACACTTCAAGTCACCCCCTTTCCTATCTGAAAACCTCACATTTTATTCATTAAAATAAAACCAAGCAAAACAGAACAAGCTATCAGTCATCACTGCTGTTTTCTGCCTTATTCACACACCAGAATATCTCTCTCTCTCTCTCTCTCTCTCTCTCTCTCTCTCTCTCTCTCTCCAAACATTGGCTCAATGACTGTCAAAGGATCTTAGGGTAGAAAACAATTTGGGGGGACCTTTTGAGGTCTAGTCAGTAAGACCACAGTAGGACATCACAGGAGCCTCCCTTCCTGACCAAACTTGGTCCTATCTCTTGTATTCGAATAAGCACACAGGCCCTTTGTCTGGCAGGTAACAAAGAAATGAACAGATGACAGACACAGAGCAGGCACCTGGCCACAAGGACTTACGGACTCGTGCAGAATCCTTGGACTGCAGTCTTTCCATGACTTCTTGCTGAGCACGTGGCAGCCAGTTTCTAAGACATCCAATGTGAGGTAGAACAGGGAGCCCATGTCCTCCTATATGGTAGAGTTGAAGAAATACCCCACATGAAACAATCTCAGGACAACTGGACAAATACCTTCTCCCAGAGTGTGTGCATGCGTGAGTGTGTGTGTTTAACAATGCCTTCTACCCTGCTGAAACCTAGATGTGACACAGAGTGTCCTAGGGACAGCAAGAGTGTCAGAGCACACCTGCTGACAGCAGCAGAGCACTGTGCTTCCAAACTGGAAAGCACCTGTTGGCCACCCCCTGGCTGGTCTCCGCCGCCTGTCCCTAGGCTGCCCCAAGCTGTCACTTGCCTGGAAGTGCTCCCGAGCATCATGCACTCGCGAGAGACTCAACACATAGCCATCCTTTTGGTCTGTGTTGATGTTCTGCATGGTGAAGCCTGCAACTGCCAGCACGTCAGAGTCGTTACAGTTCCGGGGACGCAGAAGATAGGAGCGGGGAGGCTTCGGGAGAGGTGGTGCAGGAACAGAACGAGCCTCGCAGCATGCAGCCAGGGCGCAGAACACCACAAGTCGGAGCAGAGCCATTCTGTGGGGAACCAAGGTCCAGGATGGGGTCGGTGTGTAGAGATGACAGGATGGGCCTCCTTGTGGGGCTTCAAGATGGACTTGAGCAGTTTTAAAATTGCAGTCAGGATGGCTGAACCTAACTTGAAACACTGTGTCCTAACATCACCTTGATCCAAGCACGGCATTTTCTGAGTCAATATTTTGGCTAGCATTTGTCAATGTCCGACCCTTAGACCTGGATCATGCCACTCGTGTGCATGTAAACAGCCCTAAGTTTCCTAACCATTTCCCAGTAATTACAGCAAATGTTTGATCAAGACACGGGAGACCTGGCTTCTGTCCTGGCCTCTATTTGAAACACTGGGGGCCCTTCCACCATCCCTCATCCATCTTTCACCTGGGCAGGACCACAAGGTTTCAACCTTACCAGCCGACCTCCCACCACCTGTCCAGATGAGAGTCCTAATCCAGCTGGAATTGAAAACAAGCATGACTCGAACTTTCCCTGTCTTTATTGGGAGGCGGGCATCTGATTATTGGGACAGGGCAAAGAAAACGGAAAGGGTCCAATCTAGCCAGCATAGATAGACTTTAAGATGTAAACCCGAATCTTGATTTGGTGATTAAACTATGCTACATAGTCAAAATGTTAATGAAATATCTTAATCTCATGGGCTGAAGAGATGGCTCAGCCATTAAAGGCTGGGCTCACAACCACAAATTTCCCTTTTGAGTACACGTATCTGTCAGGAAAACATTGTGCTTCGTTTCAAAATTGTATTTAAGGGGAAAAAGCTAAAGCGACGCTCAAAGTTTCCCCCTCACACTGGAGGTCTAGTCTTCCTTTTGCACACTGACAAGTTCATTCATCAATAGACCAAACCCTGGTTCTGTTAAGAGAAAGATAACAATGGCTGTCGAGACTGACTGTGATTCTTTTTTGTTCTTGTTGTTTTGGTTTTTGGAGAAGGTATTTCTCTACATAACAGCTCTGGCTGTCCTGGAACACACTTTGTAGACCAGGCTGGCCTCAAACTCACAGAGATCCACCTGCCTCTGCCTCCTGAGCACTGGGATTAAGGGTGTGCGCCACTCCTGCCTGGCAGACCATGAGTCTCGCCTCTCTTTTTTAGCTTCCATTTAGAGCCCAGGAAGGTTTTGCTTATTAAGACTAATGAAAAATTATTTATTTATTTATTTATTGGCAGGGCCTGTTATATAGCTGAAGACGACCTTGAATTTGTAATCCTCCTGCATCTACCTCCCAAGTGCTGGGATCAAAGGTGCACACCACCATTCCTATTCCTAGCTTCAAAAACAAGGTTTCCCCCCCACCCCAAGACTTTTCTTATAGAACTAGGCCTCGCATATGCTGGAAAATTGCTCTTTCATTGAGCTCCATCCCAGAGATTTTTGTTTTGAGACAGGGCCTCTCAAAGTCCCCAGTCTGGCATGGAATTTAGCCCTGCTGCTTCAGCTCCTCAAGTTTCTGGGATTACAGGTATCCACCACCATCCATGACACATACATTATATGAGTGTGTGGTGCCAAGAGTCAAACCCAGGGTCTCACTATATCAGACATGCATCCTGCTACTGAGCTACATCCATGGGCCAGGTTTTAAACAAGTTTCTATTACACACACACACACACACACACACACACACACACACACACACCAGCAGAAGTTACCATGAAAGCAAAGGCCTGAGTCAGGAAGGGAGCCTGCAGATTAAGCTGCCTCTGAAAGCCTTCCCTAAGATGAGCAACCCCTCAGCCCCTACCTCCACCTCCACCCCTGCCCAGGCTTTCTGTGTTCAGATAGGTAGAGGTACTGCTGCCCCCACTAGTGCCCATGTGGCAGATCCTCAATACACAGAGTATCTCAAAGACTCCAAAGCTCTGGGGCCAGCACTATTTCAAACACAGCTCTCTACAGCTCCTAGAGCATGCAAGAGCTTTTCTGAGTAGTGCTCACTTCTAATCCACAAACATGTTTTGGGAATGTCTTGTGTTCATAAATAAAGATTGCCAGTCTGGGAAGCTTTCTCATGGGAACCTGGTGAGAGGGATCACAGATTTTAACTGGGAGCGAGATCTTCCAAGTAGATGGGAGAAAAGTCCCTCTAGTCTGGATGGGAATCCAGCATGTGGTACGCTGTGGCTGACAATAGTGAACTAAGCAAAAGAAGGCTGTGAAGGCTGCTATAGTATCCAAACTCACCGAAAACTTTGATTTCATACAGAACCTAAATATCATATACTGACATGCTTTTAACTAACATTATTGATTATTGCTACTTAGAAAAATTTAATTTTATGATAAATTACTAAGTAACTTATATTTACTGTGATAAATTTAATTGTATCACAGTTGAGCAGAAAAAGTTTTGATAGCCACTCACAGCCAACCAGGTGACAGCATTTGGTTACTTAACTCAGTCATGGTATGGACAAACACTCACTGGAAACTCTCAAGACAACTTCACAAGTCCAACCCGGTGAGAAAACCTGGGTTCAGAAAGGGCAAAAATCCTGACTGAATCAAGACAATAACCGGCCTAGAAACCTTCTCTTTTAGCCTTCCCCCCCCCCCCATAAGGTCTGGTGAGATTGCTTAGCAAGTAATGGTGCTTTCTGCCAAGCCCAGTGACCTGGGTTCAATTCCCAGGACCCTCATGGTGAAAGGCGAGAACTGACTTCTAAAGGTTGTCCTCTGACCTACACGAGAGAGCATGCATGTGGTGCATGCATCACCCCCAGGCACACAAACACACAAATGAGTGTAAAAATATTCTTTTCATCACACTGTTGATTAGAGCACTGACCGAACTCTACACTTCGAGTAACCAACCAACTGAGGTGGGGAGCGACTTACCTGCTGGAAGCCAGGCTGCCGGAGCTGTCAAATGTGCTAATCATGGCCCTGCATCAGAAAGCATTGGTGCAGAAGGCGAGAACAGGGGCTGGCACGTGGCTAGTCATTGCATAATGCTGCTACCCGTAACTCACAGGCTCCTATTGTGCAACCGCACAATGCCTGGAATTGAGTTAGGCTGTTTGGCATCAAGAGGGAAAGATTGACGTGGCTTGAGCAGGTCCCCAAGGCTCAGAGGGTGGTAAAGTGATCACCTATTTGAAACCAGCGGAGAGGTGTACCTTTACAGAAGAGATTAAGTCCCCAGGGCTTTGTCCCCATGAGAGGAAAATGTCCATGTCGGGTGAGTTTGTTATGCTGAAAGTCCTCTCGCCTTCTGCTGCAGCGTGACACAGCAAGAAGGTTGTCCCCAGTGGACGGTGAGTGGGATTCTGGGACAGCAGCACAGGGTGGACCGTGATAACAAAATGCAGAGCCCACCAATTTTTTTTAAGTAAACAAGTTGTTAGTAAAGATGGATTGACAGAGCCAAATCCGGAAATTATAGTTCTTCAGAAATGGGCTCTGCGTTGTGCTTTCAAATGGGAATAACTTGAGAAAATGGGCATTGAAACCAGAAATAGCTATTTTTTTTAGAAAAGCAGCACAAATTGGGAGGCTATTAGACTGGAGAGGCCCTGGGATTTAAAACCCTACGAAACAAAACAAAACAAATGCCAAGCGAAGCCCAGGGTAAACTCTGAGACTAGAAACCAACTAGAAGCTGACCCTAGGCAGGAGCTTTCTACTCTAGCCAATAAAAATTCATTTTGCATGTGCAACTAACGGATAACCTGGATGCCCATCAACAAATAAAATGGATAGGATATGTTGTGTAGACAAACAAGGAATTCATTTTACTTCACTTGTTTCTGCAACTACAAACTACATTTTACAAGTTTACCCTCTCACAATCCTGGACTTATAAATCAATAAATTAAAAAAAATTAAAGTTTAGATGTGCTGAAGTTTTCCTTTATCAATTCAAAAATCAGATATTCAAATTCCAAGGTTCAACAGAGATTCAGTTTCAGCCAGCAGTGAACACACATTTGTGGGGTTCTCTCTGCTAGTGTGTCTGAGGCCTGAGGACAGGTACTCAATGCACTTCAGTAGAGGCCCCTGATATAGCTTTAGTGAAAGGCAGATGCAAACATGATTAAAAGCTCCTAAACCACAAGGTAAACTGGACTTTGATGAAGACCCTGCTTCAGTCCTTGTCCGTGTGTGCTAGGCCAGTAATATAATCTTTTTAAAGCTCAGTTTCCTCATCTATGCAGGGCTTCAAACCACGCAATTGCTAAGGGCCTTTAGCTCCAATGGGATGGCGTCCGGCCTCTCTCTGCACTGAAGGCCCATTCCTCCTCCAGCAGCTGCTGCTCACAGTCAGCAGGAGGGAGCTTGTTTACCATCATCTGGGCTGTAGGTTCCAGTACATCTGAGCCTGACCTCTTTCCAGCTTACAGGAGCCCTGGGAGGAGTGGGAAGACATCAGACTAGTTGCCCTAGCAAGGTAGTCTCCCGAGATCATTGATCTTTTTCTCTCCTTCCCACCTTATCATTCCTTCCTTCCACAAACACTGAACGGACAGCTCCTCCACCTGTGAAGGGCCAGGGCTGGATTAAAAGTAATGTTGATGGGTTCTTACAATATGCCCAGCCCCACGCTAAATACTGTGTTTCTTCTGATGCAAGGATTTAGATAGTACAATGGTTCCTATTGTATAGGAAAGGTTAGAAAGCCTGCCCATGGCTTACAGTGGGATTATTACATCTGAGTTCCTGCTCTTAAGAAGTCGATACTAGAAAAGCTCCCGGGAGACCTTCCACAAGAGCGGCATTCGGCCAGAGATGGGAGCACGGTCCAGAGTGTGCCTGATGGGCCAAGTGGGGAGGATGCGCCAGAGATAGGGGCAGGGCAGTGTTGTGTTACCATTCCCTTGTACTGTAAACCTTCTTTGCTGGAATTTGAAGGGAGACTTCGAAGGCCCAGGAAACTTAAGAGAGGCTTAGGAAGTTCCCAAAGTTACAAGACTCATAAGTAATTGCTAAGGTCAGAGGAGACTCTGGAATGACATTTGTTCAGTTTCTGAGGGGAAATGATGCAACTTTTGTGACCCAGACTAGAAAGGACAAATGATAGGGCCATCGGGAAGAAAGGGAGCCCTCAGGCTGGTGTCTGGCTGAGGCCTCTCACCAGCCAGGAAGCAAGAATTTCAACATAATTAACACTTGCTGTGAAGGTTGCTGACACAGAGAATATTTCTTTCATATATTGAGGTTTCCTGTCAAAATAGCAATGCACGGGAGGTTGGGTTGGCCTACTCTGGAAGTTTAACGTTATTTACAGTAATAACTTCTCTCCTTCCTTCAGCTGTCACCCAGACGTTTACTTCAAGAGTGGTCATCCTTTCCAGTGTCCCCCAGGAACTGCCCCTTGACCTCACGGTGGCTCATTAGTGACCCCATGAAGACAGTAGCCTCTCTATCGACACAGCCGTATGTAAGACTGTTGCTAAAACAGCAAAGCCCTCTCTCTCTGAGGCGTGTCTTGCTTTCTTCTTGAGCCTTTCCGATTAACCTTTGTCTTTAAAAATCATATTAAATATCTCTATCAAATCCTGCCTGCTTCACGCCGGCTTACTCTGAAATTCTTTTCTGCCTCAAAGCCAAGGATCTGGTTCTACCTGATTCAAGGGGAACTTGACCTCTAAAAGATCAGGGGAACTCCTCAGGTTGCTGCAAGAAACAGGGTGGCCACCGCCAGTGACAGTCACTCAGGCTGGGGTACACTTTTCAGGGCTGCAGCTGCCTTCAGCCAGCCATGCATACTGAGTTCACAGCTCACCAAGACAAACTCGGGTAAAACCGTTTCTTTGGTCTGTCCTTGATACGCTATCTGGGGTAAAACTATATCTGCTGATATCTACCCAGGAATGGCCACACGTGAGAAATTGAAGAAAGAAATGGATCACTGTATCTGCAGGAAGACGGATCCGATGAGAATCAGCATGAGAAGCAAACCAAGTGAGACCCAGAAAGACAAACACAACATGTTTTCATTTCAATGTGGAATCGAGATTTAAAGTCATGCACATACATGTATTTGCTGCGCTTTTCCTAATCCGTCTCAATTTGCTTTCTAGAAACTATACATTATTTATTGCTCCCAACTGACCCGGTTCAAGGCCCCCTCTTGCCATTCTGTCTCAGGTCCTTCCTCCTAGAACCTCTCTCTAACTTTAATCACGTTGAAGCAGTCTATGGAAAAGTCTAGGCTGTCTAAAGCACATTTTCCCATCGACAATGTTCTCAGGGGAAGCCTTCCTGCTGCGTGGCAAGTTATATTTCCTGTCAAAATCCTTGTTGTGGAGAGGCCAACAGCATAGACGCCGGGTTCAAACAGGCGCAGGTTTAATTCCAGTTCTGTACTTGCCAATGGGAACCCAGAAAGCGTTCTCCACACCACCTAAGCTGGGTGTGAGGACCAATGAAAAACAGAGCTTGGCTATGGGCTTGACTTCTGAACTTTACCGAAAAGACTCTAAACACAGGAAGGAAAGGGCAGGGAGGACGTTTGCCCGCCCACATTAGGTACTCACAGTCCGCCTGATCTGATGTCTTCACAGGGGATGCCGCACTGGAAGGGGGCTCAGCCTTGGAGCTCTCACAGCCAGACTTTCCTGAGGACTGGGGTGAGGGTGTCACTTAGGCCGGGACACCAACTCACCCAAGCAGCTGATGTATAAACTGGAAGCCTGTTTATGAACTGAGGGATCCTCTCCTGGTGTTCCCAATCGAGCTGGAGAGCTGCTGACAGGTTCTCCCACTGATTGCCTTTTTATATCTTGCGAACAGAGCGCAGCCATGGCTTCAGAAGCCAGGGAACAATCCACTGCTCAGCTGGGTTTCAGGGCTGGCATACACCCTGAATACGAATTAGAGGCAAGGTCTTAGAGAGAATAGGTCCTAATTAGGTTTCGTGTCTTTCTACGGAGCCACCCAGCCCTTTGTTCCCACCTGGGATTTTCCCAGTGTGCCTCACCCAAAGGGTGTGGCTGCCTCACAGATGTCCTTCTCCGCCCTCAGAGAAGCTGGTTCCCATAGCTCTCACTCAGGAGGTGGCTTTATTGCCGAAATACACTATTACCAGTACTGTACAAACACTGACCCAGAAAGCCTGGTGTCAGCATGCCAGGCACGGGTAAGGGCAGGTACTCACATGGAACGGCCAGGAGTCGGGCGCGTCGAAGATCTCGCGATCCCATTTGATGGCTGTGTCGCCACATAGCAGGTGTCTTTTCTAATACATAGGACAACAGCTGGGAAGGCAGCAGAGGCAGGGCCTGACTTCAGCCCCAGTTCCCACGGAAGACCCAAAGGTTCTGGCACGCTTCCGGTGGAAGCTCAGCTCACTTGCTTCTTTGGGGGAATAAAGGAATGCAGGTGTACAGTAAGGGCCAAGTAGAGCATAGGGTAGGTATGCCTGTGGAAATCCCAGCAAATCCCACTGGAGCAGGGAGTTCCCAGCAGGGACTCAAAGAAAACTCAAAGCACAAATAAACAAAACCAGTCCCTCAAAATATCCGTATTTTCAGAGTATTCCTTTTGGCACAGTTTTGAATTTTAGGACACTGCTATTGTTTTCCATATCAAGAACTATAAAATTAATAAACAAAGCACAGTGGGGGAACGATAAGAAAATTTAATCCAAATGAAAACTAGTGAGCTTGTTCTTCAGATGAATACTGGGCAGAGCAGAAGCTCGCTCTACTGACCCAGCTCTTTTTGAATGCAGTTCTTTGCCTTTGAAAAGTAAGCATGAAGTAGAATGGTACAGCAATTCTGAAAACTATTTCATGTGTTGTGATACTGAAAAACTGCGCTGGGGACCAAGAATGTGACAGGAGACAAGGAAAGGCTGGGGCTTTGGTTTGACACTAGAGGCATCTAGTGAATTCAGATATTGACCCAGACCCTTCTGAAATGATTAATCTTTCCTACTATGTCAGCTGAAAAGGCCCACAAGCAAGGAGACTTCATTCCATCAAGTCCATCCAGACCCGAACCTGGTTTTTAATTCTAGTCTTTTTTTTTTTTTTTTTTTTTTTTTTTTTTTTTTTTTTTTT